GTCAAAATCTGGTTCCAAAACAGGAGGATGAAACTGAAAAAAATGAGCCGGGAGAATAGGATCCGAGAGCTCTCCAGCAACTTCAGTTTCTCATGAGACTGTGTGCGTCTTTGGCGCCCTCCTCCACCCATGGCAAGGGCGCCTGCGGTGTGCAGAGCCCCCCCCCTGGGAGAATGTCCATGGAAAACAGGACCCTACTGCTAACTTATTGATTGTTGTTCTTTCAAAACCGTTATTTTCACCTCTGTTTGATTTGATCGTCTATATGTATTTATAAATGGCTACATTTGTAACGTTGATGCATTGTATTTGAAATGTCCAGAATGTGACCACAATGTTTCACAGCTTCAGGCTTGTACATATTGTATATATCACCTGAGTGAACCATTGGAATTTGCATGCTGCACTAACCCTTGGGATACTTGTGTTAGTTACATGTCGGCCTTTATGTGACGGTTACAGAACCCTAGAGGTTTAATAAATATTTGCACATTTTGCTGGTCAAATTAATAAAACCATCCATGCAACTGCAAACTTCTTATTTCATTCAGAAAGACAGACTAGGAGCTGCGCGCTGTTTAAACCAGGTACGGTGCACGGTGCTTTTGTGTTTGTCCGCTCTGTGCACAGTAAATATGATGTTCTTCTTAGTTTAGACCTGTAATACTGTAGATGTGTCGCGGCTGTGCACACGTAGTTGCTTTTTGTCAGACCTAAAGATAAACCTCTCAATAAATGAACATGTACTGATTTATTATTATTTGAAAACGTTAAAAAATATATTTAAACAAGTGGGTCGTTGCAAAAGCAAAAAGAATTAAAGAATTACATTTGGAAAAGTCCATTTTTATTTTTTAAGAAAAAATGCATTTGGACTATTTGGACCAAAACGATCCAAAATGGTGCAATGCAGTGTGAGAATTGCCACACATACTTGCAGACTGCGTGTTTTTTTTGTTTTTTTTTTATTGTTACAGGCGGACGGGTTATAGCTACTGAGAAACTACACAATTTTCACACCTTACACACACACACACACACACACACGTTTTAGCAGATTTTGCTGAAGAGGAGAGCGGGCTGTTGAGTGGTTTAGGTAGTCTCATGTTGTTGGGCTTTATTATTTTTCCCACAACACGAAACTGCCTTGATTACCTCAGTAAAACTCGTCGCATCATGAAAAAAAAAAAAGAATCACTATTAATTACTGTGTGAATTGATGAATTATTTGGCGCAGGCTCTATCATAATGTATTGTTCCAAAAAGTGCAATAATGTGCTTTATTGTTGTGTGTAAAAGGAACACTTGAGAGGATTTTAATCTTTATGTGGCTTTTGTTGATGAAGCCATAATACTGTTATGGTTCAGATTTATTTTTACAACGATACGAAGTTTTCACCATGTCTGTAATTTGAGAGGATCTCTGTGAAAGATGTGTGTGAGCTAAACAGCAGGAGGAAAGATGCAGCCTGGGAAATGAATGAATTTATCCAGGAGAGGAGGAAAAAGGACAGACAAGGCCTCGGTTATGATCATTGCAGCCTGCCAGTTGCCTCGCCTTAGGAAATTCCGGATGCGTCTGCTTGCGCCAGAGAAAGGACACAAAGGCTGAGCTTTATTGGTGATATTTAGCTTAGACAGCCAGGTTGTAACCTTAAGAAAAACAACCCAATTGTCCGTGATAAAAAGGACTGTTATATAGCACCCAAATTGCCTCAGCCCACTTCCCGTCCTAGATTGCCTTCAAAGCAGACCCACAGTTACATGAGGCCAGAAACTGTCCTTTAAAATGTTTAGGTATTGTAAAAATCCAGCCATCTTCTAAACACATGGTTGCTTGTTTTATCTCATTTAAGAATGTTTTCTAAAACAATCGCTAACAGGAACTAGTCTTTTCTTTCCAGAGTAAAGGTTTTATAGATGTAGATCATCAAATTATTGTAAGCTTTTATTCTAATATAATCTCATGAGGTATTTATTACTATACAGATTTTAAGGGAAGAGGCTGTTTGATGGTTTCACAAATGGAGGCTTTAAACGTGCATTAGCCCTGCCCTCCTTTGATTACACTAACCCTGGGTGTTTTGACCAAAATCACAACCTTTATTGCTTCTAAAGCGAAATATTCCACCATAAAGGCGCGGGGATTTGCTATTAAATATGGTGGGGAAAATGGTGGCTATTTAGCTGAACAGCAGGCTGATTTATTATTTATTGTTCTGTTCCACGGTCACGTGTTTGGGGCGCCCTATCCAGTCTTGGGCAAGGTTCAACTTACTGGACGCACTGAGCCCCAAGCTGGTGCAGCAAAGCAGCACATTATATGATGCAATGCTTCATTTCTTTCTAAAAGCTGCAGGACTGTAACGCGTTGTGTTTGTTTTTTTTTGCTTTTGTGTTTTTGCGATGTCGACGCTGGGAACCAGTTACTATGTTGACTCGCGTGTTCTTCCCGAGCAGGAAGATATAGCACCGAGGTATTCATCAGCTGCAGGGGTGGAGCAGGCGATGCTCACCGAATATGGCGGACAGGAGTCTTGTCCTTTACAGGCGAAATCTTCTATTTTCGGGGGATCCTGGAGTCCCATCTCGGCCCACCCTCCAAACACAGCCGCTCCGACTTATATACATCACCATTACACGACTGGGGACAGCGATGGCATGTTTACGCGCTCCTGGGCGTTGGACCCCGTGTCTGCGTCCCTGTGTTTAACGGGATTACCGTCGACAGCCATGCATTATGAAATCAAACCCGAGCCACTGATTGGGAGTAATGAGTGCACAACTTTGGAAACGCATACACCTCTTTTGTCGAACACTGAAAACGGAGTGTCCCTGGTGGAGATTCCCTGCGATACCACATCCACGTCTAAAGCCACAGACGAGAGCCCGTCAGCACAGGAGAAAGGGGAGACGGATGCAAGTAAGCAACGCAGTGTTTTACTCTGATTGTGGTCACTTCAGGGACTAATTCAGATTGGTTAAACTGTATGAATGGCTGCAGAGAGTGGAGGAATGTTTTTGGATGTCACAGGCCTGCTTTAGTGTTGTTTAGGGTCACAGAGACAATAGTTTTGCAGCCCAGTGCAACGATCTTCTGTAACAATAAGATAAGCTGGTGGACACACTTCAAGAAACTGCTGTTCTCAGTCCTCACGTTATCACTGCAAATTCAACAGAAAGCGAATAGATGTAATCTTGCCAGGAGTAGCATGCCCTCCCCAAACTGTAACGTCTAGCCTTGTTTTTGAATCCCGCTCTGAGAGCTTTAACTGTCTTCTCTCCTGGTTTTGATCCCCTGTTTCCAGATAACCCCTCATCCCACTGGCTTCACGCAAAGCCCAGCAGAAAAAAGCGTTGCCCATATACAAAGCATCAAATCCTCGAACTGGAAAAGGAGTTTCTTTTTAACATGTACCTCCCGCGGGATCGTAGATACGAGGTAGCGAGAGTCCTGAATTTGACCGAGAGACAGGTGAAAATCTGGTTTCAGAACCGCAGGATGAAGATGAAGAAAGAAAACAAAGACCGGCGGAGAGACAGTTAACAGGTTTTGGACTGATGGTGGATTAGACTGGGCTTGGGGTTGGGGTTGGGGGGTCAGACCTTAATGTTCCTGAGCTGTTACACATGTTGTTGTAAAGTTTGTGTTATTAAAACAGTGCTGGATGTTGTTGTTGTTTTCCCCCTGTGATATCCAGTGTTTCGTGTTTGTGAGAGGACAAAATGTCTTGTCAGAATTTAGATGTGTTGTGTTTGGCGCGCACAGTTAGTTACATATAGGCCATTTGTTATTTGCATGAACTGATCTTTGACTACCTGAATGTCCTTCAGCTACCTGTTTGCATTAAGTTATTGTTTCTGCAACTTTAGGTGTTTTATAACCGTTAGGTTTGGACCAGTTTGTGAAGACACTGTGCACTTCTTAAAATACCTCGTTGTTCTTAATCTCATCCAAAAAATAAATAGTTTATATAGCACATGAGAAGATTATTAAGTCTGATAGTTTTTGTGTGATTTTTCTTTACATTAAGCCACAGCGCGTTTTCATACATTAAAGCCTGAGTTTGTTTTGTTCTACAATGGTAAAACAAATGGTTTGAAAATGATTTGGTCAAAAACATTACTTGTACTTTTTTCATTTAAAGCTAAAATGTTTATTTTTATTTTATTTTATTTTTACAGGAAATAAAGGTAAAAAAACAGACTTTTACTACGTCTTCTGGTTTGTAGCTTTATGGTGCAAACAGCCCAAATGAGCCACAAAACCTTCCCAAGGCCTGTCCACATATTTCCTTCTCTCAGACACGCTTCTGTTAAAGCCACTGGCGCACGTTGTATTTCTGCTATTAGGCCATAAGATTTATATATTTCAATAATATTATTGTGGAAATGAGTGAGTTAAATTTATTTGAGTGTATTTTTTTAAGAGCCCACTTTTGTTTCTTGTAGAAACAAAAGATAAAAACAATTCAAGGGTCTTTGGATTCATAGATTAAAGCTGAAAGCTTTTAGGAATGAAAGGCAAACCCACAACACAGAAAGATGTAAATAAAACAACTTAAACAATGCAACAAATAAAGGAAACAGTGGCAGGTGGTGAAACATTCTAGTTATAGATTATTTTTGCACACGATTATGACATGAACCATGTGTATTACTGGATCATCTTGGCCTTTGAACAGGTTGCAAACCAGAATAGATGCCCGTTTGTCGTAAACTACAATCACAGCGTCAATTGTTTATTAGGTGCGTAAACTG